GGAATACATTCACAATATGCCATTAAAAATCCAAATAAAACTTAATGCTTTTTAAAACTATTCTAACAAATTAAAATAATATACACATCAATGTGTACCCTATATTTAATTTCATGCACTTTAAACCTTTTACACTACGATCTGACGTTAGGGTTGCTTAACATTTTTTTAAACAAATACAGAATGAACCAATATATTTAACGTATCATTACATTAAAATTGTTTTAATGATACGTTTTCCTATTCCTTGCTTATCTGTAGCAATAATTAAAGAGTTCATGATCATGTCATGTAATCTCATACATACATTTATCTCTAAAATTCATATTTACCTTTTACAAATAGGTTAATTTCTAAAACCCAGTAAATTTAAAAAGAAAAACTTGGACAACTGAAAAAGGTGAAGTAAGTATATATTTATTAATTTTGGCCATCGTAACCGACGAAGGGCTTTTTTAAATGTACGACGGGTAAACAAATTTAAAAGGCAGAATCTTAACACTTAAAAATTTAATTTAGACTATATGCCCCTGGCAACTTTTATCACAAAGGGAGTAAACCTTTACCGTCTGGTAATAAAGTCCTACCGGTACTAAATAATTGGTGATAACCGTAATCTACACCGAGACACAGGGGTAATGGCACCGCCTTCCAAGCTTCGAGCTGCTAAAATTTTTCTAAGAACAGAAAGTCTGATTACGCCACTTCACACAGACCTCTATAAGCCCAAATTCTGTTAATACGTCACGTCTTTACCTCTTTGAGCAACGTGTGTACACTCAAGACTCGTGTCCATAACGATGTTTTTTCTCGTTTGGAAGATAAAAAGTGGTTATGTAATTTTTCTATGGATGGTCTGTAATATTCCTTCTTAAACATTTATCTATTTCATTACTTTTACCCGCTTTCTTGTCATTGACATTTTAAATCATAGTTATAGTATAAAACACATCGTTTAATTAAATAATATTTCAACAATATTGTTGAGCATACTTCAATTTTATCTACTAATAGAATTAAATAATTACGGATAGTAAAAAGCAAAGTTGAAAATGCCACAAACACACGTTTATTCGATATCGGATTATCGCTCGTAGCGCTACGACGTAGCACACTGTAGCGCGTTGTTTTTTTCTTGAGAACATTAAAATTATTTAAATAAAACAATTTAACGGTTTAAAACGCAATATATTAGTTAAACATATTTGAAATTGATTTTTAACTTCAGCTCGACGTTTCGGATGCTTTGCAGCAGCCGTAGTCACGGGGAGACTAATATATCGCGTTTTAAACCGTTAAAGTGTTTTATTTAAGTGTGTACTACTCGCGTAAACTATAGACAGTATTTAAGATTAAAATTATATTGAAAATAAAATAACCTATAACTGAGATTTATGATTTTAATACATGTATAAATAGTAATGATGAGTGTGTGTGTAGTGAATAACTGTCTTAATTGAGATATGACCGTCTCTGTAGCTAAATGGTTAAACGTGTTGCATTGTGTTCAGGAGGGTTCTGGAATGGAACCTGGGGAAACAATAGTTTAATTCGGTTGCGCAGAGCACAGATCTGATCAACTGAACGTGAGATGGACACAGAAATGTGTTCGCCTCTAAGCCCCACGGGGGAAACGGAATTTCACTTTTAAGCTTCTTAATGAAATCCCTTAGTGAAATTTGTTGGTTATGTTTATACATGATGCCATCAGATATAACAATAAAGACATACATTTTAATGTTTGCTTCTATTACACTTAGATCTTGACATTCTTATTTAGCTCTGTGGCTTAAGAATTTTATTTGATATTCTCTTTCTAAGTTTTAATGTAATTTAAACGTATGTTAAATCTCGTCCACCCTATCTGAGGCTTTGGGGAAAACATTTCTCGTTTTTCTGTTTGTTTCACTAAGTAATTATAATTAGTATAACAATACTAGGAAACTCGTCTGACTTTAGTAAGGTATTAAATGTGCTTATAATACAGGCGCGCTACATATTATGCCCTGCTTTAAAAGTTGAAGCGAGATCTTGCAACAGCAAAGTATTATGTAGCCGTACTCTTTATACCTATCACGTTCCTTTATAACTTCGCTAGACGAATTTAGGGCGTAATTGCAGCTCTAATGAGTTCTCTCATTACGGTTAATTAATACAAAAAAACTTTTTCACATGTAGGTACGGTGCGCAAACACCTCACTCGGGGCGGTTCATCTTTTTTATGACAACTATTCTTAAATTAATTAAATCATTATATAAGTTACCGAAAATATACAAAAATCCGTCATTATATACAATTTCTCGGACTTGTATTCTACCCCACGTAGTATAAGGCGGGACTTCACTATGTTTTAACTGAGACAATAAAAGCTCCCTTGATGGCGGATTCTTGAACAAATAAAATTACTTTAAATTTTACATTTAAGAAACACTATTGTTGTTGTGTGTTGTAGGTTGCGCGAGAGGTCCTGGGTTCGAAATTTTGGGAAACAATAGGTGCGGTTGCATAGGACAAAGAAGCCTGATTTAGAACCGATCCATTAACGACACAAAAGTGTTTGCAAAATGGGTCCTTATTTTGTTTTGAAAAAAAATTACGCAGGTCTGGAAGTAATGTAACTAATACCGGTAAACTACCTCCACTTATTTCATCTTATTTACTCATGGTCGAGTTTTCCCAAGCTCTAATGTCTTCAATTAGTTAGCTGAAATTTATCGCCCCGAGCTATGTCAAGGCTATATGATATATAATATAGTACCACAATGGGGTCAGGTCAGATGCAAGATAACTGTTACCATACATATATTAGTCAATATTATTGACTAGTATATACATATATATGTATATAATAAGGTATCACTGCGTGTTGTGGTTACTCAGTTAATCATTTGTGCCACACTGTACGAGCGTTATCAGCTTGTAGGATTGTTTATTAGACTGCGTAGGTGGCTCAACAGTTCCACCTAATACTTCATGCTCGCTTTCAGTAATAGAGATGTCCTGTGTTCGAATCCCTAGAAAAATTTCTAGTTTTGGCCACAACATAAAAGTCTCATCAATTTATTACCTGTAAATAAAAATGATCAGTGTAACAGAAAATGACATACTCGTAAGTCTGCCCCATACTCCAGGGAATTTTAAATATTGTTAAGAATCGTCTGTAATTTACGGAAGTAGCATATTTATATAAAACTAGCTGTGTCAGCGACTTCATCCGTGAGAATCGTTATTTTAGGCATTCAAATTAGTTTTTGCAAACCCCGTCATCTTTATAAACTTAAGCGACGTCGGTCGCGTCCCTTCCCGTCGTTCTTGCAAGCGTAGAGGACTTTTTTTAGATAATTTAAAGGGGAATCATTCTCTCTTACATATTTTTTGGGTATCTTACACCATGTTTGCAGCGTACACCTCGGAAATCCACAGAAATGAATAATTTTCCCCGTTTCTTCCACATTTCCCGCTGTTTCTGTGCTCCTATTGTTAACGACGTTTTTTAGCCTTATAACGTTCCCCGATAAATGCTCTAACCAACACAAAAAAACATTTTCAATCCGAATCAGTAGTTCCTGAGATTAGCGCGTTCAAACAAACAAACAAACTCTTCAGCTTTATATATTAATTTAGATATATATTATATGTGAACTTTGAATAGTCTTTCAAATAAAATCACTTTAACAGTTTAAAACGTGTAATATATCAGCTGCAAAACATCCGAAACGTCGGGCCGTAGTTAAAATAATTTTAACTAATATATATCGCGTTCTAAACCGTTAAAGTGTTTCATTCAAATGTATACTTCTCGCGTATACTATTTAAATAGTGTACTAATCAATAATAGGTCAAATACATCAGTGTCCTTATAACAGTTCCCTTAAGAACAAGATATGATAAGGTCACTTAACGCTGGTCAAATGCTTATTGACACATGAAGCATATCGTCGATTATAGGTTAAAGGGCATGCTTAGTCCCTCAAGATATTTTTCTTCAACGGTGGTCATACTGTATAATGATATTCAAAAACTTTTGGTACGCGGCTGGGGATCTAACAACCGAACTCCTGAGAAAAAGTTGGTCGCACTTGTATCGTTTAATTATAGTTAATTCTGTATGTAGTTTACGTGAGTAGTACACTTTTAACATTTTAAAACATCGCAGTCCCTCGTGACCATGGCTGCGTCAAAGCATTTGAAACGGCGGTAGTTAAATATATTGTAAATAAGTTAACTTTGTAACGTTTAATATTTTACACAATTGTATATTAAAAAACTAATTTAGATTGATAAAAAAAGCAGCCTTGAATCGACATCTACAGCTTTCATTTAATCACTAAAGTAATACATTTCACATTTGAAACTGTTAAAAGTGTTTTATTTAAATTTATCAAGAAGTCGATTGAAATTAGAGTTAACAGTGTAAACAAGGTTGAACATTAAAAAAAATTGTGTTAGTGCAATTTGTACATCACAACAATTAAATTGTTGTTATAAAATACACGAAACAATCTCAGATATCAAAGGTATAGGTGATTCGCTCCAATTTGTTTCAAATCCAGTCAAAAACGGTTTACGATTGCGGAACAATATTCCAAAGCACTCCGTTTACAGTTTGGATATCGTCCAAGCTAGTAAAATCAAACCGCACGCGTGCTACAAGAAATATGCCAACATAAGCCTGAAAGAATTTCATTAGACAAACTTTTTTGTTAAGTCTGACGGAAAATCCTTTGTGAACACGTGAAGCTGAATTCTTGCTTATCATCTTGTTGTTCAAAATCAGGATCGGCAGCATAGTTAATGATTAATAATCTATTTATATTGTAAAAGGTTACGAGCCGGGTTTAAACCGACGTCTAAAATAAACATTAATATTTTTTAGTTAACTACTGCAAGGGTTTCGTTGGAACTTATTGAAGATGACAGACATTTTGTGGAAAATGTATTTTATAATATCTATTTAAAGTGTGCTGTCAATTAATTTAGTCACGCGGAAACCTACACCATGAAAGCGAAATGCGGTGGTATACTTCACTGCATTTCCACGTGAGAAGGACAGAACTACGCGACCGGATGTAACACCTATTTATTAAACTAACATGTATGTAGGACACGGTAGGTCAATTCGTTAGGAGAACAGCACGGAACGCTGTAGTGGCCGGTTCACGTCCTACTGGCGTCTTAAATTTTTTAATTTTATAATTGATTTTTAAGTTAGAATGCCATCATGTGAAATATTAAACACTTAAAATATTTAAATAAAGTACTTTAACAGTTTAAAACGCGCAGCTGTGGCAGCTGCATCAAAGCATCCGAAACGTCGTTCAAATAAGTTAAACTAATATATCGCGTTTTAAACCGTTAAAGTGTTTTATTTAAAGGTGTACTACTCGCGTAAACTATAGACAGTATTTACTTAAAATATTAATTTTTTTAAACTTACCTGTCTATAAATCCTGTCGAATAAATTTTGTACTTTAATCCGTCTTTTTTAACATACTATCTAGGTAACCGAGTTAAAAGTCATATTATTAAGTAATGGTTTGTTTAGAATTACATAATGAGTCTTAGAATTTTCACTAGCTCTTTGAACATAGCCTTTTTATCGCGAATTAATGTTAAGGACTTAATTTAATTTATAATACGGCTTCGCTCCAGATTCAATGAATACATTGTAACTTGTCCCATTTATTTGATGGATTAAGTCCATAGAAAATACTATACTGGTTTAATTAACTATGTATATGTTTACATTTGCGGTAGACGAAAGATGTCTTTATTATAAGACAACAAAATAAAAATAATAGAATCGTTTAGCATATCATTGTTTTCGGGCTGTTTCGGGCTCTCGGTTGCTATCTGAAGAATTCTTCGAGCAACCGAGGACAACATCTCCTGACGATGTTATCCGCTCGCGTTGGCGAAACTCTTTTCTCGCCTACGTCGGCCCAACAAGCCGAAAAACAATGTTATGCAGAAGGAATGTTATTCAACAAATTATTTTCTTATTTACCGATTCATAATACGTTTCATATGAGTTTTAAATTTTTACCTTATTACAGTGTCAGCGTACCGGGTTATGCTGGGGGCCTCTCCGCATCACTACCAGGTGGCGGGGGAGCAGCCTGGGAGCGACTTGGTGCTGAACTTCTGCTGTCAGGGCTGGTCGCAGCTGCGTATTTCGCTGCTATGGAACGGAGGTGGACGGGTACAGCACCAGCTCTGCTTGGGGCTGCATATTGTGCTGCTAGCTTTGTTTCTGTAAGTAAATGTTATTACTTTTTTCACTTTATTCTATTACTCCAAGACACATTGAATTGTGGGGCGTTACGTAAAGAGATGTACCTTTCTAATAGGTGAACAAACTGAATTATATTCGATCAAAAAGAACCTTCCTAATAAAATAAAAGGATGTTCGTAGATTATATTCATATATTTTTTAGAAATGCCTATATATTCTTCGTGTGATCTTTATATCTTTTTTATAAGCAACCCCGTCTTCAAATTGCGAGCTATAACACAGAATATTATATACGCGTTGTAGATGTAATTCGAAACTAGGCAGCAGCTGCGATATGTCGAGTCCTCGTTGAAACAGAATATCTATTGATGAGCCCAAGATAAAGACGATTGACAATTCCACATGCTCCCTTTGAAACAGATTATATAGATTAAAATATAACTTATATAATTCAATTGTAATATAGTAAAATAGAATTTACTATTAACCCTTGTCGAATAACAAAATAAAAATACATATCTACAAACTACCTACTCAAGTAATCCTATAAAAATAATACAAACTAAGATAACAGTAATAATTTTGTATTAATTATTTAATTAACCCATTGGGGTTACCTACACTGCACAGTGTAGGTTAAAATAAATAATATAAATAGGTATATAACTAAGTAAATTAGACAAAAGTTGTTACAATATAAAGAAGATATTCGTTTTTGGAAATGAATAAATGTTAAAATTTAATATACAAAGAAATCATACTCCAATAGAACACTTCTGGTTGCAAACGTCTTACAAGGCCGTAAAAACAAATCAGATAGCTATGGCCTAATGATATCAATGATTACTAATAATCGGCTTCGTGGGTTCCATCCCCACCAAGTCCAACATGAAATTTGTGTATTGGTGGTAGGAATATTTAAATTCCGTCCGGTACACTACCGTTCACCGATGAACAGACTCAATCTGAGCACTTCCGAATATCCGAAGCCAAAAGTAGGTCGATATCGCATCTTTCCGAGATGTCATATCTTCATGTTTCATCTAGTAATCCCGTGGTTATCTGTCTTCCTCTCTCTTTAAAAAAATAGACACAGTAATGCATCCGACCCAAGCCCCATAGTAAATTGTTGTTGTTTGATACACAGAAATACAGGAAAGAAATAAAATAACTTGTAGTGTTGCATTCCATCGTATAATATCACAATTCCTTCTCGCAATATTGTCACTCATAAACATGGAGGTTTCATGTTTTTCGCGTCATAACCGGCGAATGGGCCTGCAATAAAAGTAACCTGCGTTACACGACTTTTGTTATGCTCGAAGTTATTAACTCCCCACTTCAAATAACAAAACTACTATAAAAGGAGGTTTATTGTTGACTTGTTTAATAAAGGAAATATCTGAAATACTAATCATGGTTAATGGTTTAATAAACTAAGTCAGTGCAAAAGAAACGCGATCTACAAACTAGGATTAAAACAATACGTAATGGCCATTAGTTTGAATACAAGTTCCATAATAGTATTTTTGAAATTATTATTCTATTAGTGCCGATTATAATGAAAAGTCCAGACAGATATTATGTATTCCTCTGATGTACAAGACGTAGACATAAAGCTACACTCGTCCTCTATACGGGTCCTTTAGCGACGTCTGAATGTATAGGAATGTCCCTTTATTGATACACAATACGGTGGTACCTGCCTTTTGTACGGAGCGGACAGATGTTCCTTTTTACACATACTCGAACAAAACGCGAGGTATCTTTTCAATTCTTTCGATATTGCAATCGGCAACAATGGAGTATACGAAACGCTCAACTAATAAATTACGCTTAGTAGAGTTGATTTATGTGCTAGGTTATAAATTACCTATAACACCTCTACTGTGGTTCTATATTATAGACTTATCCTTTAGTGCTATATCGACTTAACTGATAATTACGTTATATTGAGAAACAGATAATATAACAAATCTTAATTTAGCTTGCATTTGTTTTCAACAAAAAAAAACAGACTATACAACAGTTAACAGTTAGAAAGTAATCAATAAGTATGTGCATTTCTGAAAGTCGTATATTTCGTTGAAATACTTGTATTAATAATAATAATTTATTAGTCTAACTATCAATCAATTTTTTAAATCTAATAAGTATTAGTTGGGTTATTTAAGCTTAGTCGTAGGTATATTAGTAAGTGTTAGTCATTAGCCATAACAGGATATATACTAATGGTCTCATAGCTGTAAAGGATCTCTAAGAGATAGGCTTTTTAAATTGGATTTAGCTGAACAAAGTGATTTAAAGAATGTAGTCATTTCTTTCATCACAGCCTTTAATACAAACAAAAATAATTTTCAGTATGAATATTGAAAGTTACAAAAGCAACACTTTACACGCTCGTGGTATCCGTAAACAATCGTTTGTGGTTATTGGATGTTAATGACCGCAATCTGCGTTAAAATTATTTTTGTTTTTAAAAACGATAGTCCGCGGCCTGTGGCCTGAATGAGCTCTGAATACAGACTGCCGCAGGTGGGCATTGTGCGGTAATTGCGGCCCTTTCAATGGAGATAGTTTTTTTAAACCCCGCTTCCGTTCCAAATAAAGGTGAAAAAATTGCGTAAAACTCCCCATCTAGGACATCATATTTTATTACATTATAATGCTTAATGACAGCGCAATAAGGGCGTAAATAGCATGGTACCACGCCCATTGTGAGGCCTTCGAACGTGGCCCATTGTTCAATGACATGGCTCTTGAATTTTGTACTGACAACAGGCTCTTTCCATTGTTGCCTGTTAATGTGACACGTTTTGCCCTACCGAGAGCTTTTCGCTTTAAAAGCCGTAAACATTTCCTTGGTAAATGCCTACCTTAATATCATAGGCGGATAGACTGACAAACGCTAAAAGCTCGCTCGAGAGTTCTTGGGGCCTATTGCCAAACGGGCACTCCGTTACAAGATTGAACATTGATTTTTGGAGGCTAATTTCACTTATTTATTGCTAAATGTATGTAATTTCATTAAACACCGGTTCGTATTGTATGTGCTTTATGACATGCAATCTGCATCTGTCAAATTTATCCGCCCTTGTCACTTGTTATATTATATGTCACATTAATTCGACTACAATTTATTTAAAAGTGCAATTGACAAACACAAATTTAATTTATGGTCCTTCGAGCCGGTATTACCAGGGTAATAATTTTGCCTTTGCCAAAAATTATATGATACTTATAACTTAGGACATGTAGGAATCCAAAACACTTCATATTTAATTGGGTGAAAAGGATAGTTCAATAGAAAAAGGTCACGTCATCTTATGTTAAAGCCCGCAGTGAAACACTGGAACGTATGTAGGGAGTATTTTAATTATAATCTTTAATTTTCATTGCAGATGCCATCTCTAAATCCAGCCAGATCTTTGGGGCCGTCGTTTGTTTTGTCTCGCTGGGACAGCCACTGGGTCTGCTGGGTGGGTGGGCTCGGCGGTGGTATAGCAAGCGCTCTTCTCCACGAATGGGCGTCTCGAAGACCAAGAGCCAACTCCAACTCCAGAGCATCGTCACCGAGAGACCTGGATGAATTGGACAAGCCAGCGTTCCCATCGCACCACCACTACAGACATGCTTCTACATATTGTTCAGCGAACCCACGGCCAGATAACACGGAACCCCTGTATTCTGGCTCCAAGTCCTTGTACTGCAGATCACCGCCACCTGCAAGGCACACACTGCACAGGTCTGATGGATCCTCATGTAAAATGTAACTATTGATGTCGTCTGGTGGAGGCCACGTATGTTTTTCGCTTGAAAATGTAGGGAGTAGGAGATATGTAGTTCGAAAAAATTAACTTATTATCGTATGAAGTTGTGCAGGACAGTTATAACAGAGTATAAAAATCATTCATTATGTAGTGGGTACATTGCAGGGAATAAGAAAAATTAAAAATCGTAGTGATATACGAGTAGACAAACAAAAAGTAGGTAGTTAGCGAAAGTGAGTTAATGTAGTCAAATCGTATTCAACTATTTGATTCAGATTGAAGATTCGTAGTATATCTTTTGTAAAGCATCTTTAGGACATAGTAGATATAATTGGTATAGGTATATGGTGAAGTAGCAGGTCTTGTTACTGTCTATAGTTTACGCGAGTAGTACACATTTAAATAAAACACTTTAACGGTTTAAAACGCGATATATTAGTTTAACTTATTTGAAAATGATTTTTTTTTCAAATAAGTTTACCTAATATATCGCGTTTTAAACCGTTAAAGTGTTCTATTTAAAGGTCTTGTTACATTAAATGTTTACTTTTAAGCGGAAGACTTATATGTGCTTACGTTGATATTATTTCAAAACAGGAGCTTTGCATGTTTGCATGAATATTTTACTATTCTAATACAACACAATAATACACACATTTTTTAACTATACATCGTTGAATAAACATACATAAAAGTATTATAATTTAGCCGTGCCTAGCCGTGCAACAAATGCCTTTAACGCACGTGTAAACAAATGTCTTTATTACAATTATAAGTAGATGCATGTTACCTATAGTATTTCTTGTTCGCTCCTTATTGTTGAAATAAAAATTTCAGGTCTCAATCAGTGTACAGCAAGAGTAGCGCATCAGCGGCTGCTGGGTCGCTGGTTGCAGCACAGTCGTTGCTGCTGCGACCACCCACCCATACCGTCACCATGAACCAGAACGTCCACAACGCACAACGCGAACCTCCGTATGGAACGAATGTCAATGTACGACCGGGCCCTGCTGGTGAGATTTTTATTTTATTCAAGAAACCTAGGTCACAATTTTTGAGGTACTACTTTAGTCGGTTCAAGACACCCAAAAAATGTGTATGAAAGAATGTTATCTCTTTAAATTATCTACAAAAAGTTCAAATTTTTTATACGTCTACTTTTAAGATTAACTCTTAAAAACGCGGACGACATTGGGGATGGCACCAAAATAACTATTCTACGCGGACAAAGTCGCTAACACAGCTAGTTATTAAACAAGAGAGAATATAACGTGAGTACATTTTTCAGGAGCTGCTGTGCAAGAGCGTCGCGAGTCCGTTTACAGCTCTGGCACGCGTCGTGGACCACTATCTTCAGAGGACAGTGCATACGGTAGCTATGCACCACAACAGACAATGACCCACACTCAACACGCCAGGGCCTTCCGAGCCCCGCTACACCAACCGGAGCATTACTAGCGGCGCGCCTCGCAGCACAATATTGCGCTGCTTTTTGACGTTTAGTGCCATCTGGTGGGGAAAGTTTGAAACTGCGATTACCTGCCGAAATGTACCCGCATTTGCGGTATAAAAGACTTGCAAGACGTCTGCTCCATTTTATGTATATGGATATAAATATACAGTTTGTGGTGCGAGATTTTTAATTAGCGTTAATTGTATAATTAAATATATAAAAGGACTCAAAATATGATCTATGATCCTAATTCAACCAATATTATTGAATCTTCAAACTTACATTACATAAAAGACTTTGTACATAGCAAACTAGATATCTTAAATTTAGTAACAAAACAATTGTATCTTAAAATGAAAGTAATGCTGTGCCATAATATGAACTGTCAAAACAGTGTTTTTTAAAGGATGGAAATACTTGTAATATAATTGAATATTGCTACTTTAGTACTTATTATAAAGATATTTCTTAAAAGGGGAAATTTTCACGTAATTGTGAGCCAACCCTCAAAATCGGCTTGTTAATATTCACCTTAATTCTCAAACGAGTTTCCGACGTTAATATAGTAATCTATGTATGCCCTTTATACTATTACGTAGGGAGTACATTTCACTAGGTCAATCTATATAGTATCTCTCATAATATAAAATACGAAGTACAACGAACTAAGGGATAATTTCGATAGTATTACGACAAATAAAACCGAATTAAATTGACAAGGGTCTATTCAATGTCAGTCACGAGATGGCAGCACTAAGGTTCATCCAAAGAGACGATCTATTAAAGGACCTCAATGTATGGATACGTTTTAACAATAGTTTGTAATTTGGTCATAATGGTTCTTATAAAATACTCGATAGTTATCTGGTTCAAATAACAGAAAAACGCCTCTTGTCTAAGAAGTGCCATCTTAAAGTGTAAATTTACCAAAAAACCCTTATCAATTTATTCGGTTATGTACATACATAATTACTGTTAACATTTCCTTGTATATATTAATGTCAATGACCAAATAAATAATTTAAGTTACCCCTCGTAATCCGTAAATTAAGATAAATAAATATAAAGTTAACGTTAATTTAGCCAAAATCAACTCTTGACAATTGAGTAGTCATTTTTGTTAGTTTAATTTTATGTTAGGTTTAAAGACTGATAGCCTTCTAAAAGTATTTGTTTTAATAACGATAATAATAATCTTAATCACAATAATAAATAACAGCCTCCAGTTTGTCGTTCTTACTTATATAATTATTCAAGTTGTCTAATTAAATACATAGTTATTTCAAGTTTTAGCTTAAGCTTGTGGAAAAAATATGAAGTGTTTGTAGTCAACGCGAGTGTACATTTTAAATTAAGACTTTTGTAGGTTTAAAACGTGTCACTTTCAATCACGACCCGAAGTTTCAGATGCTTTAGATGGCATCTACCCAAAACGTCGGGTTATATTTAAAGTATATTTCGCGTTTTACTTTAAATAATATTTTATCAATCCTATCAAATAATGATCAGAACCTATGGATAAACGAAATAAAAAGTAGTTAGAAATTTTGGTGCCAAATTTAATGCCCTTAAACAAAATATTACCACGTTTGTTTAGACATACAAAATAAGACTGTTACCTATATTATTTTAAGATCTATATTGTAATAAGTTTATTTTTATAAGTCTACGCTAATTCCTCTAATACTTTTACGCTATTCCTTGGTGGAAATTATTTGTAACATCTGTATACAATTTGAAACTTGAATTGTTGTAAGTTTAATCGATTTTTAAAACTGTAAATAAATCACTATGTTATGTAAACAACTGTTTTATTTAAAAATGATATAATATTGAATCGGAACAGTTTCCTAATGACCGGACAGTTTGTTAAACGCCCTCATTTGAGAATTTGGGTATGGTCCATTAAACACTACGACAAGACGGTCACTGAAAAATGCTAGCAAACTTAGGTTACCAGTGAATACTAAACAAAATATGGACAGAATAATAAAACGAAATCATATTTAAATGCATTTATTATCCAGAACATTATGCTAATTTTGAATTATTATGAAAAAACAATATCTATCGATGAAAGCTAAGCACATCGCGTTGATACACGAAATGTTACACTTCACTATCAATTGCATACAAAACACTATAAAATGTATCGCGTCTTAACGCATCAGTACTAAGACAACTGCGCGAGTCAATTTTTTATTTACTTAAACAACTCAAAAACTGGAAACGGGGGCAATGTTGGTTCGGCATTATATTTTTTTTCTATAAACAGTTATAGTATAGGGGATGCCTTGGGATGTACATAAAAAAAAATAAGTCACAAATTTAGTGGCGGTAGTTGTAAAAGTCAAATCAAACTTGAATAGGTTAAAAACTACTCATAAGTAACTTTACTAAGGTCTGAACTTTACGCGAGTAGCACACATTTAAACAAACACTTTTAACGATTATAACACACAATGTATATTACTTAATACTTTTTTTTAATACAGCCCTGAAGTGGTTATGAGAGTCATAAATTAATTATATGTTAACTAATATATTTCGCGTTTAAAACCGTGAAAAGGTAACTTTTTCTTTATTAAGTCACAAGTAGACATTTTGTCATACTTCATGTTTATATATTTGTCTGGAGGTACGCGGTGAGTGCAACTTTCATATTGGCTTTATAATATTTGTGTATATATGTAATCTAATAAGCATATGCAACGTCGAGTCATAGTTAAATTAAACAAGTAACAAATCGCGTTTACTAGAGTATGTCTTATCTGTGTAAATTACCATGTTTGGCATTACATAATCGAAAAGAAAAACTATTATTAGTAGTAAATAAAAAATTGACCGCGCAGTCAGTCATGAGTTAAATATACTCGGCAGTGTGAGCTAATTTGATTTTGAGAAAAACTACTCAACAGTTCCTAGAAAGATCGTTAAATAAATCCACTAGTTGTGCTTAATTAATCTAATAGAAGAAATGCCTATTACACTAGATATAGAGTCTTAGAGAATCTGTAGAGATCGTTGCGAATCAAGCGTTTTTAAATACTATATACATACGCTCGAGGCGGACCGGTTGAACAATTTAATTCTATGTGTCATAAGAACTATCACAAAAGCCTCTTCGTAATTGCATAAGAATCATGAGCCATAAACTCTGCATCTGGGGGAGGGGGGTATAGTCAAGTTAAGTCAAATTCTTCTATATTGTCCCATTTACGAGTTTTAATTTATAATATTATTATTTAACATTCGTTTTGACATTACCATTAAATAGATTCCGTTTGTAAAAATTTCCGTGTGAAAGCTGCCTCCCCACTCTTCCCCCCTTGGATACGCTCATGGGAGGGTCCACATATTATACTAGTAGTGGGCCAAAGATAAAATTACTTTTTTATCACTTTTAATTATCATCGGTTGTATTGATTATAGTAATGGAAAAGAGTAACAATGAATCGTCGTGTCTGACTTGTTGACTGTAATAAAAAAGTATCTAAAGTGACACAGGCAGTGTTAAGCTTATAATTATTATCAATCTTATAAAGGCCACCTTTATAAAATTAAAAGCAAAGAAACCACACTCAAACCCAGTCGTAATAAATCGTTATAAGAAGTCCTAAGGAATATAAATTCCTTAACATCAGTCCAACGCAGTAAATTCTTTCTATCACAACAGAGCCCGGGTCCGCCTGAGAAAGTGCTTCGCAACACCGGTGGCGCCATCTCTATCAAATTAATACTTAATACATAAATAACGAAGTTAGGCACATAAATTAATTTTGGATCGATTTGTTTAATGGGGCTTATCATTTTTTAATGATATTAGCTTGGGAGACTTTCATGGTTTACTCAGAGTACATACAGCACTGCCACAAGCACAGAAATATCTCCAGCAATATTTCAATATCGACACTTGCTAGAAAACATGCCTTATAATTTAAGAAAACACTTTTAAAGGTTCAAAACATACATGAATTGTTTTTTAACTTGTATATTTTGCTTTTCTGTAAACTACGATGTCTTCTTTATGAAAAGATTTTTATGAGAAGAATTGGAAAATCTTTAAAGGCTTCACGCCTTGTTTGAAATTTCATCAAACAATTCAGGTAGTAATATAGCAAAGATATGTAGAGGTTTTCATTCAAATCAGGGCTGTATTTTTCTTATATGGCTGTTTTTATTATATAAGCCTTTCTCAAGAAAAAGACTAGGTACTACTCCTTTACATGAAAAGCCCCATCGAACATTACAGACTCAACAACATTAATATTGCTTATTCTACAATAATTCGAGAATGGAAACGCAAAATTGTGCGTTTGATCTATATGTACGTGATAACATCTAAGCGGGGCACATACAAAGATATAAAACGGAAGTTGCTAGGCACAGATGCTCCGATGCGCCCGCGCAGCTCAACACACGCAGCCACTCTCGTTGCCCTCTTGCTCTGCGCCCATGGGCGATTGGGTCTGCAGGTCGACGGCTGTTTGTGAGTCAAGGAGAAAGTTGGAATTAAATTAAATCACCTGTACTTGGCAACAAGAATAACCCTTTAAAATATTACTCCAATTTATGAAGGACGAAGATTTAAATATTATAATAATGTTTTTCCACTGACAGAGGTTAAAGAACTAATGAACAAATTAATTGTGTTAAAAGTTTTATTTTAAATATCAGCGTGTGGTCGATATTTACAGAGGTTGTCGACTAAAAAACAACTTATCCAGAAGAATAATGGAATGACAAAACGAATAATTATATAAAACGTCATATTATAAACATGATAAGAAGCTAGCAGTGAAATTCTCACTAAGGCATACCGCACACTCAAAAATTTTAAATGTATTAAAAATACGCGAGATAATCTTTTAGGTGTGCAGCGTCCGAATATAGAAATAAGAATCATAAGATTTATTACTTACACGCTAAAATAAATAATACTAAATACATAAGCTCAGAGATCTCTTAATCTTATTATTTAAAAGTATACATGACCGTTTTTAAGGAAAACAATATAAGTATGTATGAAGTGACAGATTTTAGTATTTTTTTTTTACTTTTCCAAACTATGAAAAATGTTAATAAACGATGTCGTTAAGTTTATTTGAGCATTTAGAAAAGAGATCTCACAAGCGTGCTATATACAACATAAAAGTTCGCAATTTCGGACACAAAAAAAACAATTTTGTCATCTCACTGTCAATATGAAATCAAAAACTAGGATCAAACAAAGCACCATAGAGTTATTTTTTAAGTCTAGTTAAAGTTCTTAACTTACTGTTGTCAAATGTTGTACACAAAAGAAAAAATAAAAAATCCACCTTTTGCCTAAATCGCCCAGATAACAAAATTGTTTTATTTGTGATTTCGAACACTTTGCCCGTCAATATTAAAAATTCATAAGACATAGAATACAACATATAAAATACACTAGAACTAGTAGTGCTCGATTGTCTAAGTTCTGAGAACGATCTTGAAGCACTGTGGTAGAACATCTTCAGTCTTATAGACCTAAATAATTTCATTTCCGCCTCAAGCTATAACACCGTGCTCAACGCGCCTTTGTGTTCAAATGCGGTAAGGTTTAAAGCTTATGTCTGTCGGAATTCAAATAATACCTTGAAGTATAAAAATCTCGTTTTTCCAGGTCCATATTGGGGTCCATATATCAACGTACCTGGATTATGGATTAAGTATTGAGAATCAGTGGTAAAAGTATACGGAACAGCCATTTCGAAAAAGAAATGACATGCTGATAACACTTAAATGTTCTTTTCAAAAGATTCTAAGCTAGTAAAAATTCAGCACATCGTTGTTTTTCACGCTGTTGGGCCATTACACGCAGAAGGCATTATCGGGAGGTGTGCGAAACGTCGAGAACCTCTTCTCACTCACGTCGGCCGAACAGCCCGAACAACAGTGATATGCTAAACGATGGCCGTGAAAGCCTTACAATTTAGTAAAAACTCATTATAGATTTATTCCAAGTCCATTGTCTGCTTGTCGCGGAGCCTTTTTGATGTCTCATTATTCTCTTTTGGAATAAGTTTTTGTTGAAATTTTGTGTATCCACCTTTTTATGATTTTCAGAGTGCTCTTGAATGTAATTCAGACAGACATAAACTTTCACAGTTATTTTACCTAAATTTTTATAAGATTATACAAAATTCAAGTAAAACAATTGTCAACAGTTTATAGCGAAATTATATCTAATATCACTCAGGCCGACAAAAGCACAGTATTTAAACGCTATTGTATCGTCCTTATATTATGGGGGTTTAAAATTACAAAATGTAATATTTTTCATGATAAATGTATTGTTTATTCCTCGTGAATTAATTTCATTCTTTCAAGGCTTTATCTTATTGTGTTGAAGAACTTAGTAAAATTCAAACATATAGATAGAATTATAATACTATAGAACGTAAGTATTTAGTATATAGAAATGATATGAGCTGCCAAAACTATAAGGGCGATACAGCGTCTTACATTGTAGCATAATTGCACAATAGAATGCTGGTCACACGACACCGTCAAATGTTAATTTAAAATGTAAATATTATAAACGTTTTTATTCTTCCTAATTATTAAACGGGTATAAAATATAGGAAAATGCAAGGATACAAATAAACATACTAATACAATAATCCGTTTATCTAATTTCAATGTGTTGAAATAATATAGCGATAGAAAATTAATTAAATTATTTACTTAATTATAGGTTAAAATTTCACTTCAAAGTACATATATTAAAAATATTTGTCTTATAAAAGTGTCGTGTGTACCGCGTTTCCCTAGAAAATGGTATAATTATTAGAGCTGGCAACACTAGCAGGCGCATCCTTGGTCCTGTTCCTTGTTGTCTCCAGGCGCCTGTCGCAATATCACCTCGTGCACTGTTACATTCAACATTAAGGAAAATAAACAAAAAACATCTAAAGAGATACCAAAACAATATGTAATATAGAAATCGTCTCGCGTCGAAATAAATAGTTCTTGTTTAGCAATGGATATATTGGTTCTTTTAAATAAAATAAGTTATTGACTATTATGTCTGTCTGTTCTGCGTCTGTCTTGTACATCTACCTAATTCTTGTAGCATGTACGGATATATTGAAACTCAAAAGAAACAACCCAAAGACAACGAAGGCATATGATAGAATACTTATGTCTGTCTATATTCGCCTTTTGTATGAACAATATTGAACATTGGTAGTTTTTTATTTTTCAACGAGACGAAAAAAAAGTATTTTCATTTAAATAGATGTTTATGCAATTAAATAAAATCACTAAAGTAATTAAAATACATGCGTTATGAAAAACAAAAGTGGTAATGTATGACAAAAAAAAAACAATATACAACAACAACGCAAGCAATATACTATAATACATGTAAGAAAAGGACGCAAATACATCTATTAAGCCGGGGAGAAAGAGATAGAAATAATGGTCAATTAGTAATGTTATTGTTACTTACACCGCTGTTAGCTGATTATACCACCACCACAAACAAATCCGGGCGCGACACTAGCGTATCGGTCACGTGAGAAATTAGCTATCTATATTCTGATACTGAATTTATTTCATTGACAGTTATAAAAGATAATACTACAACAAATATTATTAAATTACAAGTAACATTTTTTTAAATATTTCCAATTACATACTTAATAAAACACTTACTTGTAGTAGTACTTTTATTAGAAAGAAACCTTACGATGTCTAAAATAAAATAAATTCATTTGAACTGACCAAAAAGTTTTTAACCTCTAGCTAATCTCACACCAATTTAAAAAAAACACCATTTTTAGCCACAATCATTGGCCGTTATTTCAAAAATATAATTAGCGTATACGTGCGCGGTTGCATATGTGTAACACAATTGTGCATGTGTGAGTGAGATGTTCGTGTATATGGCGCAAAACTAGCGTAAGGTATCATAAATCAACATCGATTGTAATTTATGGCTAATTGATAAAAATTATAATTTGCGGCTCTATTCATAATCTTATCATAGTTGAATAGATATAGATTTGAATATTTCAAATTGAAAAAATCGATGTCATGAGCAAGACTCGAATCAGCATCCACATTCTTATAACCATAAGGACGATTCTCTTAATTTTTTAACTATTATAATATTCTGGATCGTAGTCACACGTTTATTTTTAAATAAAACACTTTAACGGTTTAAAACGAACGCGAAACGGCTGCTGCAAAGCATCGAAACGTAGTTAAATATTTTCAAATAAGTTTAACTAATATATCGCGTTTTAAACCTTAAAGTGTTTTATTTAAATAACCTATTTATATTTGCGCAATGGAAAATCAACCTTAGCACCTTGATTAGAGGTTAGAGTAACAGCACGGATCGCTGTGGATATCGGTTCAAATCCCGGCCTTGTCATCAATCTAAAATGATTTGTGTGTTCCCTTCTCAAAATAATTAATCAAATAAGTTAGAAAAGGACAGACTGATTACAGAGTATCGTTCATGTTGGAACTCTGATTGAACAAAGACTTTTTGACTTATCTTACGATTTCATTATAACCGTTATGTAAAATCGGTATTAGGAAAAGGATACTGTCTTCAGGAGGCTTGCTTTCGGCTGAGTCCATGCCAGGAAGGGCAGCTGCTACCCGTCGGAATAACTGAAAAATATAATAAACTGTGATAACTTAAGTTGAGGAAAAAATTATAGCAGATATGTATGAAAAGAATGAAGAGATCGAGACTTATAGATTCAATGTGGTACGATGTCATTTACAACACAAATCAAAAGAGCGTTGTCCGTTTCTCACGATCCTCTGCGATAGCAATAGTGACAACACTCGTGTGTCAATCGGGCGACAACTTAAAACGGATTGTACTAGCTGTGTCCGCGACAAGAAAATTTATTTTTTCTCACAATCTTCTCAGCTTTATAAATTACAGCATTGTTACCCACGACGTCGGTGGCATGTTGCAAGATAATCTTAAAAGATAGACATATAGTATCGCGGATTATTGAAATATGAGAGAATGATATGATCATACATATATTTTGGTTTGAACTTGAACTGTCTTCAGAAGCACTGAAGAATTAATAATTTCACCGTTTTTTTACATTTTGTGATATTATATACCTTAAAGCCTTCCTCGATAAATGGCCTAACCAAAAAAAAAGAACTTTCTAATCAAACCAGTAGTTTCTGAGATTACCGCGTTCAAATAAATTCTTCAGCTTCATAATAGATGCCACGTGAATCTTGAAAATTATGAAAGTATAAAAAAACTCACCTGTTTGACATTGTATCCAGCCTTGGCGCTGGTCTCTATGAACATGACGTTAAGCTCCTTGGCCTTGCGGTCTCCCTCCTCGGTGGACACCTGTCTCTTGTCTGAAAGGTCCGTCTTGTTGCCGACCAGCATTATGATCACGTCAGAGCCGCGCTCCGTGCGTACGTCGTCGATCCATTTCGAGGTCTGGTGGAATGAATTTGCATCTGGAAACATACACGGTTTAGTTAGATTTAAAAATATTTGTATCTAGTAATCAAAGTCTACCAATTGTAATAGGTACTAAAAATCAATAAGAATAAATTCTAAACTCTAAGGAAGGACTACTTCAGATGTGTTACCAGCAGTCTATCTATACTAATATATAAAGATTTTGTTTGAAAGCGCTAACCTAGAAACTACGGGTTCGAATTGAAAAAATATTTTCGTGTTGGTTAAAGCATTTATCGAGGCTATATATAGGCTATAAATCATCGCCCTGTGACTAATAGAAGGGAAAATTATTCATAATTATGGACTTCCGAGGCGTACGCTGCAAAAACGGTTCATACCAAAAAATTCAGCGATGCTATATGTCTATCTTTTAAGCTTAACTTGCAAGAACGACGGGAAGGGACGCGAGTACGTATAGTGGCTTTAGACATTATTGATACCTTCAAAACCTTTACAATACTTATACCTAAAGAAAATGCTAGTGAAACATCTTTCTAGCGTCACATACAGCGTTTCAAAAGGATTCCTTTTGTTCTTAACATCCCGTTTCAACTAAAGTAATTTAAGTCTTTTGAAAGCGCAGCATCATAGCTGGATGTTGGCTGCGTGCCTCGATCCTATTTATTTGTCGGAGTTTTATCGCAAATAAATCCCTCACGACCGCCTCCGCGGCCGGGGGAAATGAAAAATATTTTACGGTTCCGTTGATCCTTGCCCGTAACGAGATATTGCGAGGCGAATTCGTAGGCGCTCCTTAATACAATTCAATGATACTTTTTCAATTCGAACCATACGAAATGCAAACATATTATGCACGAAACATGTTCAACAAACAGACTGAAAATCTGAATGTTAAATAGGCGATACGATTATCGCAATTCCGTCCGGGTTACGAACCACCACCCACAGATTAAAAATCGGCGAAGTTTAATCGCTATTCGGTTTCAGTCTGTGGATTTCCGAATATCCAAAGCCAAAATAGGTTGATAGCGCATCGAATGTAGATGTTATATGGCTGGGCTATTTTCATCTACGATCAAACGAACCCCATACTTGTCTGTCCTCCTCTATCATAATAATAATTAAAAAACTTAAACTGCAAAACATTAAAGTCGCGTCACAGTATAGGTTCACTCCTTTCTCCAAGACATCGTTATGGCTTAGTAAAGACATTACGATCGACTGAACGATAAAACCCTTTAATTGCTCATAAAACGAACATTTGCAATGTAGATGGCGTTATTTTTTCGCAATTCACCTGAGATCTACTCTCATTCCCTTTTTATCAATCTCTTCTCCGAAATACAATCTTGCAAAAATCGACGATAATTGTGACTATTTAAGAAAGGTATATACGAATATAGTTTCGAAAAGTATTAATCATTTTTTTTTCTCACAAAAAGAACTATATATTCTAAACTTATTAAGACTTAGAAGAGAAACAGCACAGATCGTCGATGCAAGTCCTCCCAATTTATTAATCTAAAATTGATTTATAATATAGAAAGCTCAATCGTGTGAAAACATGTGAAAAATAAAAATGTTTTAACATTTACACAAGTTAAAATATTACTGAAATTTAGTAAAGCGAAAAACAATAGAACCTCTCAAATCATAATAATTTTCCTTTTATGTAAATTATCTTTCAAAACGCGAAGTAAACCTAGATTCAACTAGCACAGCTTTAGAAGAATTCAACTAATATATTATTTTGAAAGTTTTTATATTAAAATATTACATATTAATGACGACACGACAATAGCCCACTGATGCAAATAGGTCAGCTAAATTCAAGGCCATACTCGTTATTCACAGAAATGCTTCGTCGAGTATAACATTTCAATGCAGTTAATGCAATCACTAAGTTTAATCAAAAAACCACAAATACAAAATACAGTTGAAATGTGGCTCGGGAATCTATAACCACAAGAAAAATTATAAAAAATAAAAGATTGTATGATATTTTAACAAGACGTAGTTAACTAAGTAATTCTGATATATGGTAGTAATAATACGACATGATCTGAATTCAAAGGGGTAACCTGGGAATAGAAATCCAGACCGGAGATCAAACTCTCCATAGGTGTGCCTGGACAATTCCAATTTATGAGACATTTCTGCGAATTGATTCTCCCCTGAACAATCCCAATACCCTGGGCCAAGGCTAAACCGATTTGCGGCAAATATTTGTTTTGTCCAGATAATGTAGGTTGTACAACAACGCTGTTTGCGGACACGCCAAAGTAAAGTCTATCCCAAAATCATAAGTTACAATTTAGCCCGCGACGGAACGAGAAAGTAGATCTAATTAAACCTTAATGATATAAGATGAATAAAGATTAGTATTACTTAATACCAAGTAATGTTACGCAGACAACCGTTACTTGCGAGTTAATAAGTTAACGTTTGTAAAATTCGAGTCAAAATTTTTTGGTAATCGCAAATTGATGCGTCAGAAGGCCGTATACGATGTTTTTTGTGGACCGAGTCCGTGACCGCAACGCTTCTTACGTAGAGTATGAAGAATTAGACAATTTAGAAAGGTATTTTTTGATTCCTTTTCATACAGCATTGACACAATCCCACGAGTTGGGTTTAAATAGACGTTTCACACATTTTCAATAGGCTAAACGCAATATGGCTTTTTGAATAAGCAATATTATTAATTAAATCTCATAATACAATTTGTATTAGGATTTACAAGGAAATCTGATTTTAAAGTTTATCGAAATGGCTCGCCAAAAAGCTTAGTGAGGGATAATAAAAACATGAGTTTTTTTTTCGGGTTGTCTGAAAGAGATGTTTGTTTGTAAACGACGAGGAAGTCCAATACATTTCTTTATACAATGTGTATACAACAACAATAATAATTATTATTAATCTCCTTTGGGTACACCGACAAAAAGCCAGGTATACAATCCACATTATTTGCTGCCTGACGGGGGACTGCGACTTATCCAACTCTCCCCGTGTCCCCTTTAAACTCTTCAAACTTTCCGGTGTTCTCGTTTTATTGTCCTGTTCCTGTTATTTTGTCAGTCCCTATATATGTTTGCCATACTTCTGCAATAATTAAATCTAGTTGTACTATGTATCTTCGAGTTCTTAACAGCAAAAGTAGAAATTGGGTTTCTATTAAAGCAGTCGTACGATTACAATAACAACGAACACCTGAAATAATTGTGTACAGATGAAAAATCCGATTTCAGAATTCGGTTGCATGTCACCGCTGAAGCTGAAAGTGGGTCGATGGCCTTGCTAGCTCTGAAGCGGCGTTTACTCTACAACTTATCATTCATGTTATCTCTTTAATATTGCAATACTTTGATTACTTTTCGGTTAGATTTGATCTAATTATCAAAATTATAACGAGACGTGTTGAAGACCCAAAATATGCACGGGCAATTATTTTTATGAATATACCATTAAAAATAGTAACCTACTTTTTTCCAGAAGACGGAAAAGAATTAGTATACGGTTCTATCAATGTATGTCTAAGGTCGTTAACATTGATGATGACGTCATGTTGTAAAAAAAGCAATCTAAATTCAAAACAGACCCTTTTTAGTTATAGAGTTATTTCTTATACAAATATAAATCATAGTTTGCTGTATTAGTTCGTAGTTTGGACAACAGCAATTTATTCCGATATGAATTGATATGTAAACTAAACTTGTCTATACAGAAGTCTAGGATCAATGTAGAGCATACGTCTGCGACTCGCTGTGAATATTTAGGAGACACCGCCTTTACCAGACGTTGCCTTTCAAATATTTAAAATTCAGACAGACAGAATAAGTTATTATTTCATAGTTGGGATCGGTTGGTACTCCTGGAGTTCCTAATTTAAAATAAGGAATGGGCATGATTCGGTTATTATAATTTTTGTAATAAAAGATATAGACGCTATAACAACCAAGATGTTGCTATCGACCTATTACTGATTTTTACATATTTATACAGTTTCCAAATATCTTTCACTTCTCGACAGTGGTTCGATGTGAAATTTATCGAGTGGTAATAAATTTTCTAGGCATTGGGTATTACCATATAAACCACTAGCTGCGTAAGCGATTTCATCCGCGTAGAATAGTTACTTTGCTCATCAAAATTTGTTCTTCGCCCTAAACCCGCCCGCACCGTTGCGGACATTTTTTTAGATCATTTAAAGCGATTTCCGTTGCGTGCGAAGCGTTTTAACATTAATTATTTTCCTCGTTAATTTCACATTTCGCGCTGTTTCTTTGCTCCTACTAGTCACACCGCCATAACCTTTCTCAATAGATGCTCTAACAAGATAAAAAATTATTTCAATTTGAACCAGTAGTTCCTGAGATTAGCGCGTTCAAACAAACTCTTCAGCTTTAAATATTAGTATAGATTTCAACTCGTTCGATACTGAATCCACGACCTGCAATTCCATTTGCCATAAATTGCTACCGTTAAACTAACAAGCTCCCTAAATACGTACGATGTGTAGAGAGCAATATAAGTGAAAGATCGTAAAGCGGATAATACGCAAAGTAGTATCGTAATAAGGATGACCTAGAACTGAACAGTACTTAACGTTTCTACGTTTACAGATTACGTCTTCGTTGCGAATTTTATTATATATTATGCAATTAATAGACATGCGAGGCTAAGTGGGTCGTATTCTCTTAATACAAACGTTCTTATGTTCTTGTCGAAGAGACACAGATAAAATACAATTTGTATATATTTTTGAAACAATTAATATATAAGGTTCATTCAAAAAAGTCTGTAACCATATAAATGGATCAGAAACATAGATAATTTTACACTAATTTAGATTTTAATTAAAGCAATGCTGTTTTTTTTTCTGGTTATGATTTCGTATGAAATTCCGTTTGTCCTGAGAGTTTATTTTCAAAGCAGCCTATTAAAAGATGTATGAGCGAATGAAGGCTATAGAAAAAAACACTTCCGTTTTCACACAATAGCTAAGATCATTAACAACAGCTAAATAATGAAAGATAACTGTGCTTACGTACTATGAGATCAAACTATGGATGGTCGGGTCAATGACCTCTGGGTTAAATTTCTTTATAATTGAATAAGAAAATGTTTAAAAGTAACGCATGGTTGTCAAAAAAATCATTATTACATTTAATGTGGCCTTATACCACACATCGGTAAGTGAAATAATAAAGCACTTAGATAAAAATACATTTATTGCAAGAGCTTACTGCAAATAAATGCGTCCTACTTGTCTGACAATAAAAAAAAACTATATTAACAGATAAGTAGGACGCAGACAGAGTGTGTCAATTAAGTTCTTGAGCTTTACAGTGTCTAAAGCCATGTCGTCAGCCATGTCTATATAACGAAGTCAGTAAAAAAATATGTACTGAAACGAGTCATCGTAAGCACAAAATACTAAACAGATAATAATAATTAAATTAGTACTGGAAGTACTCTATTTTTATTATATCCAGAATAACGGAAGGGCCCTTCCAACTTTGTGTTAATTACTATACTATTATGCCGTTAAAAAACGTAACACGCTAACTGTACCCCTGAGAAGCAATCAAAGAGGCATAGTCTTTTTTCCAGAAAATAAGTTCATAGACCTGTAGCGGTTCAATGAACAACATAAGGCCGAGAACTTATGTAACTGATGTCTGCTTGAAACTGGGCCAAACAGAAAAGTAATCTACTTTTTTAATAAAAATATCTAATAACAAATACGTCATTTTCTGAAAGAAAGAACTTAAACTAAAAAGGTACTGTAAACGTAAGTTGCAAACTTCTTTCATCTGAAAAGAGTGTTAATTTCCGATTATGATTTACTAGCTGTTTCAGCCCCTTCGTCCGCTAGGAATATATATTCTTGGGCGTCCAAATTCATTTTTGCAAACCCCTTCATTTTTATAAACTTATGCTGTTACCCACGACGTCGGTCGTGTTTCGACTCCGTCGTTCTTGTAAGTTAATCAACTTAGTTAATAGACCTAAAGCGTCGTGTCATATAGCGTTTTAGATCAATTAAAAGAATCATTCTTTCTTAATATGGGGTATTTGCTGTTTGGCTGGATCCCAGAATATTTCCAATTTCTCGCTGTATATTCGCTTGCATTAGTCGCAGGGAGATGTTTTATAGCCTTGCCTCCCGATAAATGCTCTAACCAATACAAAAATAATTAAGGAGTTCTTGAGATTAGCAAATAAACTCTTCAGCTTCATATTAGTATATATATTTAAGTATGTATTTGGTTTTATAGGAACATATACGAATTTCAGGTTTTTAAGGCTAAAAACAGCTGTAGTTAATTCATATTTTCTTTTATAAAGAAGAACAGAAAAGGATAGTGGTTCATTTGATGGTAGATAAACAGCCTATAGCATCTTAACAAGATGCCCTGTAGATATTCGATTCTATTTTATAATATGAGAAGTTTGTAGAAGATAAAAATGGTAATAATGGTAAAATATAATGTAATAGTTATAACTCCTAATTAATGATAATATATTTCGGCGACTTTTATGTAGATAACACAAAAACAACACTCAGTACTGTAATATGATGTTATGATGACTCAGAATTTTGTCATACTTGTTTAAATGCAAATAAACCTGTTTAGCAGCTGACATCAACTTTGATTATAAGACAGTATAACTATGTAAGGACAATGAAAGTTAAAGTAGCCTTTTGATACCATTAGTGTTAACCATTAAATTTTTCATAAGATATATTTTTTGTGACTTATAGAATACATGCAGGCTAAATAATACAACATATAACATGTCAAATTTCAATAGGTCATTAAAAAAAACCATTTGTAACATTTTTACTATTAATCAATAATCTTCAGAATAATGTGCATATTTCAGTAGTATACAAATATAACTATGGACAGACAAGTGGACCAAATCACTTGAAGAGGTAAAGTACCCCATAACACATAAACAAATTGGGATGTCCACATATATTGGAATGAGGCATTTTAAAATTATTAAACATAGCCTTTTCATTTGTGGGTGGTGGTTCATGACCCAGAAATAGTTTTAATATTACTACACATTATTACACATTATGTTACCATCTATTTCATGGACAAACTCAATTTTTTTTTTAGAAATATTATAAATTGATTAAATTATGGTGGACCTGGTGAAGGTTGAACCCATAATCCATTACCATTGCCATTACACCATCTATTATTATTATTATTTATATATATTGTAGTAGATTAGTTGAGTCACTTACTTGTAATATCATACACAACAACAGCAACAGTTGAGTCTCGGATATAAGAGGGAATGAGGGAACGGAACCTCTCTTGTCCAGCCGTATCCCACAGTTGCAGTCTCACTGTGCGATCTTCCAAGTACATTGTTTTTGATAAGAAATCTATTCCAATAGTTGCCTGTGCAAAATAAAATGTTGACATTGATTACAAAATTAAATTAATAGAAAAATCAACAAATAATAAAAAAAAATTGTAAGAAAATTAACAATAAAATTTAGTTTTTAAAATCCTGTCAGGAAATAGATAAATTAGAATAAGAATTAGGTAACACTGATATTTTTCATTTAAACCATTAAAAAATTATTTAAATAGGTACTACAAATATAGTATACAGACAATAACAAAATACATACAAAAAAACTCATTAGTTGTGTAAACAAATTATTCTTATAAGATGTTATAACTTAGTTTAGTTAATAGACTATGTCCAATAGTTATTATATCTAAATGATTGTTTCATTACATGTATAATTTTATTCTTATCTAATGTAATAAATTTTTAATAACATTAGTGACTCACCTGGTATGTGTTGTCAAAACTATCATACATGAACCTAGTGATCAGAGATGTTTTTCCCACTGCAAAAAACAATATCCCTTTTATTAAGATATCAAATTTCCACTGATTGTAAAATATAATCAAGTTCGAATGACAACTGTTGTTCGGTGAGAAGTCGAAACCTTTAAATCGAGATTTATCACCAAGTAACCTACTTATGCTCTAGCATAAAGCATGTTATTCTACCATATCTTCGTTTTAAAACATAAACCTACGAAATATAGGACAGTAATTCGATAAAGTCTAGACAAATCTATATACGTGTCGTAAATTTAAAAACTATTAAAAATGTACGACTGAGTATTCAAGTGGCTCGACTCACCGCTTTGTTCACCGAGAAAAACCAACTTAAACTTGCGTAATGGGTTACCAAATTCACCAGACGCGGACATCGTGATTAAATTTTATTAATTATTACGCTAAACTATAATTTCACAGTAATTCTTATCACAGAAAACTACATGAACTGACAGTTCTGGCCACTCCTGCGGCACACACGAGCGCAGCGCCGCCACGTTACGACAGACTAAATGACAATTGACAAAATAGAATTGCCAACAATTCTAAAAATTATCGCGGTCTGTAACATAAGTCCAAAGAGTAATAGCCATTGATATAGGTTTTGCACATGGCAATTCAAGGGTTTCTGCCAAACTTTAATCGAATGTAATTTACTTGTAGATTTCAGTCTGCCATAAGGAATACACTAATATAATACATTTAAAATCTAAAAAGTAAGCTTGGGGAATGTTTCAATTAATTATTATTGGTAGAAACCAGAGTCTAAAAACATCTTAAAATTTTTATTACAATAAAATATGTATATTTACAAAATAAAAAATTAGATCACAAGCCTAATACCTATTTTACATGTTCCACATGGCCTCTAACAAAAAAATTAATAAAAAAAAACAAAGAATATTAAAAAATAATTGTACCAATTTTCATATGGCACCAATTAGTGTCTTGAACCAATAAACAAAAATTTCGAACCTTCAACTTTACCAATGAAAAAGCAAAAATGTTTCGTTCTTAGTTTATCTTTGGCTTTTCTGTTCATCATACATACATACGACACAATATTAAAAAAACATTATGACATAATACAAGATTATTGAACAGTTTAGAAAATAATGATATTATAACAAAGTTTTATATTCTGGTCTCTTCCACACATGGTGGCTACATATTTTATCTAGCACAAGTGTTAAGATTCAATAATTTAACTTATTATAATGACAGTAATAGAACACGTATTAGGCGCATATAAATCACAGTTTATGAAACATTACTTCAAGGGGCGTGTCTCCTTGGGGGATATAAGTTTTCTTCAACAACTATGACACCACACAATAAATCGTAACCGGTGCGATTGAATCTGAATACAAAAAGAATAACACAAAGTGGAAACAAAAGAGAAATAAGGAAATTCTTTAGGAGAGAACGAATTAGAGATACAGTGAAAGTCAAAGGTCTTCCTGGATATAGCAGCACTGTTTCTCTTGGCCTGCCCTCAACTGGTACTACAGCTGCTGCAGTGACGACTCTGAGACCCAAGAGGCCTTTTCCTGGTGTTGTCCCACCAACCCTCCCTCCAGCACTACTAAGGCAATAAGCCTGAAATATTAAAAATGTATGTTTTATATAGAAAATACCTTCCATTGTTATTTTCAAAATAAAAAGAAATATCATCATTACAAGAATATTAAAAGATTACACACCTCTAACAAACACACAATAAGTCTGTATATAATTTCCAAGAGTAAAATTTCTGATGTTAGTTCCATAGCATATTTATAGTCATCATAATTCTCACTTATCTTGTATATGTCAAATTTATCTAAATCACTGAAACAATCCAATTAAATTATTACACAAATGCTTATGAGAATGTTATATGAAATGCTTATAAGAAAAATATACATACATAATGTCAAACATATCAACCGCTATGAAAGTTACTATCAACTTCAGGACAAACAGCAACATAAAGTCTATGAATTCCGCCAGTAAACGCTTATAGAGTGGTGGTATGACATACTCATACCCTCCATGTCTTTGTATAACTGTAAAAGTCATTTAGATATTAGTCCATAGATTATTCCATCAGTATATATAAATGAAGAAGTCTTCAGAAACACCACAAATATTGTCTCATAAATCCATGTCTTAAAAAACTAAAGCAAGATTAAAAAATAGTTTTTTGGTATATATACCATACCATAGATATAATAGAGTATTAGTTCAGCAAAATTCATAAATAAATATAAAGCATATTAACTTATCATTACAAATCATGAATAAAATAATACTAATGGATTCTTCTAGAAATTATGCAACAAATTGAAATATACCTAGATAATTGCACTTAAATTAAACAAGTATATTTTTTCTACGGAATTAAATAAACGTTGTGGATACCTTCAGCAGGACTTAGTGGCGGCAATGGAACCTGTGCATCCGGTGCTGGTCTCGGAGGTATAGGCACTTGGAAAGGAAACTGTTGTCCTTGGAATTGGTAGTTATTATTTAATAGAGGAACATTAGTCTGATTATTTTGCATCCCTTGCAGACTCATCATGTAGTAAGGAAAACATGTGGAAAGGTTTTGGTACATTTGCGCTTGTTGGATCCATAATCGTAAAGCTTGAAAGTAAGCCTCTCGTTCGCTAGCTGGGCGGTCGCCCGTGTCACCAGATGAGTTTTCTCCTGGGGATGTCTCAAGTCTTTCTGTTTCAGACATTGTTACATGAAATTAGCAAAAGTTTTTAGAAACATGAATTTCAATCTGTTTATTTAGATTTTGCAATATTCACAAATTTAAGTACACGTCAGATTTCATGAATGTCAAATATGAGTGTCTAATATCATTATTGTCATATTTAATTATAGATTTCAACAATTAAACTAATTCATCATAAATCAATGTTACACTGCAATGTTAATGTTAAATAATAAATTGAATATATCTGCAATTTATTCAGTGTTTTAATTTTTAAATGTTTTTAGGATTCTGTGTATTCAATGTGGGTTAATAGCTGGCAATAAAAATATGGAATGTCAGTCAAAAGATCGGTGTCAGCTGTCAGTCTGATCTAGAATTTGGATGCGTGCGCAGTAATTTTTCAAGTCGTAAAGTGAGGATTCCAAGATCCAAGTCAAACTCTTTTAATTTTTATCTATTTCATAAAGCTGCTTTATCGAATGTTGTATGTCACGACCCGCGGCTCACGACGACTATTACGGCGTTTTTAAATCGTAAGCTCGACTATTGCTTAATTTTGATATAGAAATTGGTTTCCACACAATAAAGTTTGTTAGTGCCATGTTATAATAAATCACACAGTGTAGTGTTTATTTTTTACAAAGTTCGCCATTGTCGTAATTCAGTTGTGGCGAGGTTTGCCCGCTATTTACAGTAATTTTATAAGTGCTTGAAAATGTGTCCTGAGGATTAATAACATAGAGACATTCATATAAACGGCATTTCCCATCTACTATAGGTTATCGGTAAGTACCCTTACTGTTCGTAAAATTAAGCATGATTTCATTGATATTTTAGTAATTACTTTTTCATTTTAAGGTAAGGATACCAAACCTTACATTTAAAGGTAACATTCATTTTGCACTCAGTGCCTGTACTTCCCTTTATTTTTGTCTTTTTCCAATTTTTTTGATAATTAAATGTACAGTGCTGATATTACATAGTTTCTGAGTTCTTAACTTGAATTTAACCCAACCTTTTTACATCCAAAATAAAGTACTGTTATTTCCAAATTTTCTATAATGTAATTGTATATATATATTTCTTGAGATTACTGTAACAACTTGAACATATTTTTTTATTGACGATGAATCTGTAGTTACATGAAGCTGTAAGAGTTTTCTGGGTATTCTATTATTTTTTTATATTTTTTTATTTATTAAGTAATCACACTTCAAATTAAGATAGTGTAACCTTGTAGCTTCCTTGCTTTCCTGCTATTTAACAGTTAAATATAGTTTTTATCATATCTACTTCGTTATCAGCTGTTATGTTGAATGGTGGGACAGATTGCATGTGGAGATAACTATAATATTATTGAGTCTTGCAACATAAATATGATGTTTCATAAGAATTTGAATAAAACATATTTAAAACACAAAAGATTTATATTTAACAGCAACACAACATTACAGCTGGTTGAGTTTAGTTAACAAATATTACATTAAGTATGTTTTATATAGAACTGTTAAGATTTTACAGACATTTGTTTTTTTTTTTGATTAATTTTTACGTATTGAACCCTGATGGGGCCTCGAATACTAACCGGGCATTACATTTGTATGTACCCTTTATTAAATACAGGCAATACTCAATAAGAATTGAAAATTTTCTTGTATCTTTGATTTCATAATTTATAAACCCTGTTTAAATGGTCTTAAGATTCCCTGCTTGGCTGGTAAGCACAACTCCAAAACATTGTATAGGTATTGAAATTTTTGATAATCAAATTTCTTCTATCATGCCCATGCCTAAAAAAATATTTTGAGCTGAAAGTCCCAATTAGTCACTTATTTGTGGTGGCAAGCTTAAAAACCTAATCCTATCTCACTCTGCAATAATGCTGATTATCTAACGCTGTAGAAACAATGCCATTTGCTTTAAACGGTTAAAATGATGATTCAAATATTTTACCCCTAAGAGTTGGCAACATTGTTTCATTTTTATATGAATATATTCTGAAGGGTTTAGCTGAAATGGGGTCTCATATTTTTTAAATCATTAAAAAAAATTATATAACCCTTGTAATGAAATGAAAATATGTGCTAACTATTTTTAAAATTTCTCTTTGAAAATTTTATTTTTCAATCAAAAGCTTGATTACGATTGATACGTTTAAAAAATGGCGTAATTAATAATTAACATAAAAAAAATTAAAAGACAATTTTTTTACATCACGAAAGAACTTCCAATATAAATACATACTCGCTTTGAATAGCCCTTGTACATGTATAAAAATACACACAGGAACGAAAATAACTAAGATTTTTTCTACACTAATCTTTTCTTATTTTGTTCATTAAATTATAAATATTGAATTATACAATCGGCAATGACGCTCATCAATCATTTGTATCCATTTTAATTAAATTTTGTATTGAACATTGATTTGTAAAAGGTCAAAGGGTGCGGTAGTCTATCCTTAGGCTCATTGCGTTCGGAATGTGCGGTATGTGTTCTAAGAAGATAACTATCGATTAACGCTGACTCATTCAAGTGTCCAGTTAACTGGTCAGTGAGTCAATGGTGTTAGTATGGGTGGACTTGTATTGATGAAAAAGTATTTTAGTCCGTTTCTTTTCTGTGTAGTAACATACAAACGAACAAGGCGCAATTGTTATAATGTTAAATGTATACATTTTGTTTGCACGTAATAATTATACGTTATCGTGTTTTCCACACTTGGAAGATGCTAAAAATCATACGTCACGTTCAAGGAAATAATTCTAATAAAATAAAAATAAATTATTTGTTCAAGCCAAACGATCAACTACAGAATATCTCGATTTGTTGCAAAATACGTTGTTAGTTGTTTACAAAGTACGAGCTTTAAGTTAGGTAATATCTTATTATATCGAAGAACAGCAGAACTTCGCTGGTTTTATTTTTGTGGCTTCCAGATCTTTCTTATATTCACTTTCACATTTTTCAAACTTCGAGTCTACTGCTTATGCATAATTATATTACTGTATTTATCGGATAAGTTAACGTAAAAAAAAATGTAGGACAGCAAAACCATCAGTATATCTCAATTCCAAGACACGAAGTGTACATAATTTCTCTGATTTCTTTTTTGCGAAGTTTCACCAGATTATGACGATGATGCGAATTTAATTCGACGTTTTCGTAATGATTTCCGTTTTATTGGAAGCTTGTTTGTTTTAACTGGTATAGTGGATACGGTCATTCATTTATTTTTTTTTGTTAAAACGACGCTTCGGTAAATTCATCTCGGGCACAAGTAGAAAGAAAAAAAGCTGCCCAACACGTATTGAATAAACATTGGAATACTTCCTCCGTAAAATAATGAACATCAGTCAAATTCAGTTTTTACGACTTACTAGCCTCTGACTTATTATTCTCTGTAGAATAGTTATTTTCGTCATCAAAATTTGTTTTGCCTCTGTTCTTTGCGAACTCCCGTTCTCAGTTATCTTGAACGATTAGATCAAGAGGAAGGAGGATTTTAGATAATTTCAAGAGGAATCATTCTTTACTATATATTTTTTGGGTATCTTGAACCTTGCAGATAAGTAACGACACCCTCAAAGATGAATTATTTCCCCCGTTGCTTTTCTACATAATTCTCGCTGTTTCTTCGCTTCTATTAGTCGCAACGCTATTGTCTCGATAAATGATCTAACTAACACAAAAATAATTTTTCAATTCGAACCAGTAATTCCTGAGATTAGCGCGTTTAAACAAAAACACCCTTTAGATTTATATATTAGTATAGATTCCTGGTTGCTTAGTAACAAAAAGTAAGCGCTTTATATCAATGAATTAAATATTCAACCTCTACTAAAATAAAGCATATTATAGTAACCAATGAACTATCTAAGCGTAGGATGTGGGGGCGAGGATAAGCGATTCGCATCGACAGTGCGTAAGTGCTAACTTCCTCTCTATTCCATTTGTATTCCGTTCATATGTGTTTGAGAACTGTTTCCATCTAGTGCAATGTACGTGGAGGGGGGGGGTCTATTCCCATTCGCTACAAGATGTATCTCTAATAAAAAAAAATTTACTACAAGTGCTAGTAGTAGTAGTCTGTATAGGAGGTGAGCAAGAATCCTTGAAGGGTTTATATATATTACATTACTCGATATACGTTACATAAATTATATAAGTATATATAGATAACAAATAATAAGACAATAACAATACAAGAGAAAACATATCTTTAGAAAGGTTTCTTAAATTCGTTGTAAAGTAACCGAAAGGTAAAGGTTGGGATTCAGGTATATCTTTATACGTATTTTTAATTAGTTTTGTTAAATCGAAGTGTTTCGAGTGGTTGGAAATATAAGAATATCATTTGTGTGATTCCCATGCTAAGTACTGTGTAGCCAGTGAATTTCGTTAATTGTGCTGTCAGGATACATACTTATCAAGGTTCAAACAGTTCAAGGTACCCAAAAAATCTTTATAAAGGGATGATCTCTCTTTAAATGATATAAAAAAAATGTCTATCTTTTAAGGTGAACTTGCAAAATTACGGGATACGACCGACGTGGGTAACAGGTAAAATTTTTAACTATGAAGAGGTTTGCAAAATTAAATTTGCATGCCCAATAAAAATATTCTATGCAGCCAAAGTCGCTGACACTTTCACTACATTATGTTTGAGTAAACCGTTTTTATGTTTTCCACATATACCTTGCCTTTATATGAAAATTCCGAAACTATCGTGGAATTAGGACAGTACCTATAGATTATCTCGAACTATAAATATAAAGGGATTCCTTGAACTGTGGAATGCGCTCCGTGGTTGAACCGAAACAGATAAATGGCCGTTCTCACGGTGACGTCATCACGCATGTGCGAACACAAGAATTCCGCTTATGATTCTAAGGGGATGTGTATACGCATAGGATTTGAAGAAAGGTTGATATCTGCCTTCTTGAGATACGTAATAACATACTTACAAAAGTCAGTGATGGTTGCAAACATTTTGCCACTAAGCCAAAAATACGGAA